CGAGTGGAATCGTCAACGTGGGACATCACAACATTCATGCAGAAAATTAATTCTACTTGACCACGGCTGGGAATCGAACCCGCGACCTTCGCATTTCTAGAACGACGCTCTACCTTCTGAGCTACAAGGCCAAGTTGGGAACGACGTTATTTTTTGTGATGGTAATGACATGAGCGAATTTCTTCTTTTCCATGCTGGTGCCAGCTATTAATCCAGTGAATGTTGTATGTGATTTTATGTGAAAAAACGAGACATCGTCATCGTGTCTACAATGTCAGTTGTGACATCTGCAGTTTTAGATTGTCAGTGGAATTCAGCAAATTATTAATATTTAATCTCCCTCCCCTCTTCCTTCCCAATCAATTGAATCAATGTTGTTGTCACAATCATGCAGACGCTATTAAAGTAAGATGCTAACCTGGACGCATATTGCATAGGGTGCGGGCGAACTGAAGTTTCTTAAAATTATACGTGTTTAGGGCATCGATCTGTCTCAATACATTTGAAAATGCTTGTGGTTTATTAATATACATGCATACGTCGGTGAATAGCGTTTCAGCGCTCTCGTTTTCAAGCAATCGATTGCATGCTATGCAGTGCTTAATTAATTTCATATTAAAATTTCTTTGATCTAAAAGACTTTGCGGTGTTTCAAAGGGATTCTAGCAATTAAGTCATTTACTTAATATCTTCTGGAAAACAAATTTCCCACGTCCTGTAAGTATGCAGAAAGATGATTACGCTATAAGTGTTTTTCATTATTACAATTTCCGAATTATTAATTTATAATTATTTGACACCAACTCATGGCATGCATTTCTTTGGAACTGAACTAATAAAGGTCTTAACAATTAATTTTTCCTGTAGGTCTGACGGAGGTTACACCTTACTTATACCATGCAGGGGTGAAATTAAAGCGTATGCACTAGTTAGCTAACCTCTGTGCCACCAACAACTTAAAAAAATTATATAAATGACGCAATGGTGCAATTTCATTACAGTTTTGAAAGGTACCTACACAAAACGTCCATAAGAAAAAAAATTATTGTACTTGGCTTGCATGCTACTTCAAATTAAGTAAATTTGTTTTACCTCTATAAATAATACTGTACGTATTGACAAAAAGTGTTTATTATTCTGTATGACTCTGCATCTGCACTGTGTGTATGCTTTTTGCATACAAGATGAATGTTGAAATATTAAAGCTGATCATGTTGTGCATTGGACAGCATATACTAACCATGAAATGTTTTTATTAATTTGTTTTTGCCACAAAAACAGGTACCTGAAACTGATTAATAATTAGGCTGGGATATATTGCTCAAATGCCAGATATATTGAATTAGCATGCATATTAGTGTTAAGGAAAAGGTACTTCATGGTGAAAGGTACATATATTATTATTGTCTCCTTCCCACGAAAACTGATTTGAAAATCCAAATTGTACTGCTAAACCTTATCATAGTGCATTTCGTATATAATTTGAACGAATGTTCATGCATGCATTGTGTAGACTACTCAGTTCAACTAAATGTAGTATTGATTTAATATAATAATGCAATAGCAATGCTTTAAAAAATGTTATATAGAGCATATCTAAAGAACCTTATCTGTTTTCGAATTCATTTCGTGCATGCCTATTCACCGGAGAATTTGGAGAGGAGCGTGGGTTAACATTGGTATGCAACTATTTTAAAGACGTTTATCACACAGCAATTAAAAGTAACTCATTTTCCAATTAAAATCTGTTTCACTCAAAAGTCTTTTTCTATGGTTTCTTCTTGAAAAATAATCCACTTTACACTTCCTTTTTAAGGTCGTATACGTACGGCCTTGGCTGAACCTTTATCTATTCCAATATGTGTGCCGTTCATCACTTATCAACATTAGCATTTTAAGTGTTATTTTCTGAAACTATTCAGATTTTCTCTTGTGGCAAAAAGAGATTAGTAGTAAAAATAGCAACAACAATTTGTTTTCGTCTCAGGCTTGCTTCCAATGCCTCCAGGAATGCCTAATGTGTTATTTCCTGATACGATATCTCATGCATGCGTGTGATATGAAGATCAAATTGTATATTGTTCACTTACAATACCTTATTTTGTACGTTTTATACAAAACAAACCTATTAAAGACTGATAATCTGATACATATTAACATAATTAGATAACAAAAGATAGTGCAGGAACATGATACATACGAACATAATTAGATAACAAAAGATGTGCAGGAACATCTGCAGCTTATTATTATATATATTGTCATGTCAGTGGCGAGCACTGTGTTCCACATATTAACAACCCTAGCCTTAATATGTCATCATTTTATTCTTTTTATAAGCAACTTTAATATTGATTACATAACCACCACAAATTGTTGAACACTTGACCAACATGCAATACTATAGCTTGAATTAGTCTGGAACCTTACTATAACCTATCCTCGTTCCCTAGGGCTTCCCACGTAGTAAGCCAAGAAGGCTGGAAAAGAGGGTATTAGCGTGTTTTAAACAGGAGTCAGGACCTATAACTTATCGTAAACCATATCAATTCTCCAAAAATACAAGATCGAACGCATAACAAACGATCTCATATCGTTTTTCGTGTATATTGAGGTATAGGGATGTGGCAAATGGATACTTATGGAGGTGAGGGAGTGTGGAATAGCCCCAAATCTGAATGAAAAAAGAAATATCAGGTTTAGGAGATCCTGCAGATTTAAAATCCTGCCTCATGGTTATTAACCTATATATATCGCCCTACGAATCAAGCTGTTAACTCAATGGCAAATTCGAATTCAACTTGTCATTCATTTCAACATTTCAACAGTGTCTGTGTTTTCACTCCTCGAGTTTACAAGTTACTCAGTGTTTCTGTTATCATCTCATCATGTAAATAAATAAATGACAAACCTTCAATTCAATAATTGGAATAATAAGAAAGACTGTTAAAACAAGTATGAATACTTTCTTATAACAATGGGCAAAACATTTTAATGACAAATTAGTGGCTCCGGAAATTGGAGGACTTCACTTCAGTGGTGTTTACGGATATAGTAAATATTAAAGTGTGAGAATTGAAAAACATGTCAAGGTCAAATAGTAATTCCATGATGCACTTGTTAAGATTAAAATATTAGGATCTTCGGAATGATTTTCTCTCACTCAGTAACCCTGCAATAATACCCTGGAAGCGATCCAAAGATTATTTTATACACGCATGTTTGCATATATAAAGTAAAAAATAAAAACACGGCGGTAACTGGCGATCCGAAAATGAAATTTTTAGTGGATTATAGAAACGTTAGAGTGGTTACCGTTGTTTTATATTTCGTAAAAATACTCAGTGGATCCCGTAATATTTATACAGTACCTCATGTACATGATAAACTTCATAAACTTCATAAACTTTAATATTAAAGTACCACTCCCTAAAAAGGGCTTTTCAGTGATACAATTTAGAAAATATATTACAATATGATTTATAAAAAAGTTATGGCGTACTTATCTAGAATTACTCATATGCACTGAGTAGTTGTTTATATAGTTTATGTTTAAAAGATTGAAGTGATTTCTCTGATTTGAACTCTGGTAACAACGAGTTCCATAATTTGGCTCCTCTAAAACTAAAAGTTCGCTGTCCTGTGACAAGGCGACTGAAGAGGCAAATGTAAATCACTAGTGTTTGTTGTAACTCTAGAATCTACTTCAGAATTCTTTTTAAATTTTCCAGTGAGCGAAGGGGTGTTAGATTTAGCAAAGATTTAAAGACGAGTATAGCAACACTAAGGTATAACTGGTCTTTAACATGCAATATATAATCATGATACAACTCATGCATCTGCAGTCACCAAGCTCAGGGCCGTGCCGAGCGGTATCTGGTTGGGGGGGGGGGGTTAATTAAAAAATTCGTGCCCCCTTCCTTTCGCCCCTCCCCCTCAAAAAACATTTCCTGAAAGCAAAAATGTTTCCGGACTTTTTCCGAAAACAAAACGTCCCAAACATTTTTCCAAACACTAGAGTTTGAGATACTGGGGCTTAATTAAAAATAATTTTTCAGACCTTTTCCCACCTCAATTTTTCAGAAAATTCCTTAATATTTAACACGTTCCGCATGTCCGCAACTGATTCCAGCATTCTGGGGCCCCCTCTCGGCAAGTTGGGCCCCCCTTTTTTGACCCCCAGTAGTTCCGGCCCTGACCAAGCCATATAAACCGAAATAAACTGCTCAATCATATATCAATGACAATGGCAAACTACAGTTGGGTCAAAGTTTTTACATGATATGCGTAATGCGTCAAGTGTGAAACTGTGAGTATTAAGATAATCGGACAGACGACTAGTTTTGTCCTAATTCATTGAACCGATAATGTCCAAACTCGATCGAAAAGTCATGAATTAAGAGATCATTCCAGGCAATAATGAATATTGCAAAGTTAATGCACATTAACTAAACAAATTTCTTCACCCATGCATGTCCCCCAGTTCAACGTCAGGTATATACAGCGCCGAAACAACTTTTGGTTGACCATGACACAACTCAGTGAACTGACAAGTTCAACATCGTTGACCAGGACACAAGTCCAACACCCCACTTTGTTAGACTGTTAATAATATTCATGAAAAAATTACCCAATTCAGATTGGCTAAGAGCGTATAGCAAATAGGTTTGAAAATGAACTGCAGCAGTGCAATTAATTAACAAAACAAGAGCAGAGCCTGGAAACTATGCAGGAAAAATCACCACGGCGGCTGATATTAGCAATAAATTTTCACTATTTCACACTTTTAATTAAAAATCGTAGGTAAATATAACAATTTTATATAATGAATGCAAGGAGCATATAGACTGAAACGTTTTCTGGCAAGAAACAACACGTCAGTAATGAAAACAGTATAGTGAGTACACATGCAGGTGTTAACGAAGCGTGTAATTTTTTCATGTAATTATTAAGTTTATTACTATTACTACATTACTATTTATTAAGTCATAGTATGATTTCTCGTCCACTTGGGGGCATACACACGTGAGTATTTCAGAGACGTCTGCAAATTTCACACATCCTTCGAACTCGCACAATTTTGATCTTTTGATCGCGCTCTTGTGCCATCAATATTAAATGCACAGATCTAATTCCGTATTCAGTAATAAAACGTACTGATAAAGGATTTTAGCTCTTGAATGACACCTAGTTCGTATATATCATTCCAACTAGCACAATTGACCAAATACGAGCCGACTAAAAATTGCCGGTCAAAACCCAATTTTCCCACTTTTGAGTTTTGTTCATAATTATGCAGTACCGCAAGAAAGAGCGCATAAAAAAAGGCAATCGAACTTTGGCATGCTCGCATGCATTATAGACATCGAGTTTTACACAGCAACAAAATTCAGACTCTTAATTAGCTGTTAAAAGATACCGCTTTTTTGTGTCATTAATTATAAAGAAAAATAACCAAATACGATCTAAAACCCATTTGGATCAGTAAAATTCATGAATTCAAAAGCTCTACATAACATATGGGATAAACCTAAATAATTGTTGATAAATTTGGTTTCTTGTTTGGCAAGACACATTATTTAGTAATTAATTGCTTTTCATTTTGACTTACTGTATGTACTTGTTAATTATGCACAAAACTCAAAAGTGGAAAAATGTGATTTTGACCGGCAATTATTAATCGGCTCGTATTTGGTTAATTGTGCTTGGAATAATACAAGAAAGGTGTCATTCAAAAGCTAAGACCCTTGAAAATTGTATGGCTGATAAATGATAAAGCATTATACAATTAAATTGCATGAAAGACGTGCTTTAAAGTTTGATACAATCGGCATGATAGAGCCAAATTTCATTGTTTCTCTTTATTTAACATTATACACATAATTTTGATTATGTTAACTAGTTTAGATACCAAACGTATGAGTAATGAAATATATTTACAAGGTTTATTCAAATATATTAAATTAACTGTAATAAAAATAAATATATCTTAATTGTTCTACGTATGTTTTCAGTTTTGATAAAGTCAACGATAAAGTCAAAGCAGTTGCAATAACTTTTTTATTTTACGCTTGAGTTTCTTTAAATTGCGATTCTTTGAATGCTTTGATCCAGATTTCTTGTTTGTCGTTTTACAAATATTTGAGCATGACCGAAATTTTTTCCGACATGGGTCGCATTGCTGCACTTTCGTACATGCAATAAGGCAAGCTTTTGAAGTAGACTGACATCGCAATATTTTTTGTTGGCAGGTCAAACTTGCTTGCGAAGACACATGTACCACAATGATAATGAGAAGTAGAATCATCTGAACGAGAATGCTCTTCATTCTGAAATGACGAAAAGAAACAAAAAATTGTAATTAATAGATGAGTCGAAGGAACGCATTTGGAGAAAAATAGAATACACTATTATATATTTATAGCCAATAAATAAAGTATAGAAAAAAGGAAAAATATGTGAGAAACCTAATACTATAGTCTATACGGACTAATACATGCAGGTTTTCTCGATTTCGGTTACCTATAATATTACCTATAACTTTAACAAAGTTAAAGTGACATGAAGTCGCCGCTCCATGTAATTCCTAATGCGCTTACTTGAGGATAAATCGAGTCAAATCACTGCAGATTAAGGCAGAGCAGAAAAACATTGCACTCAAGTTAGTCATATTTCCCTGCTGCACTGCATCAACTTAATTATATGGTCTACGACTACACGTACGATTACTGCTTGCGGACCTTAATTGGCTTAAGCGCTGAGTTGTCTTACTTCCCCCCCGCTCATACATCCTCAATGACAAACGAAGGTGATAAACGAAGAAATATTTCCTAAATAAGTCATAGCCCCAAGTAGTTACATTAAAACGCAACCCACGCATTGTAATTAACATGGAGGATTGACAACCTCACAAATTGGTTTGAATGAAATTTAAGAAGGAACATTTTACTAGAAACTGAACTATAGGTCACGATAACCTACACGTTACACGAATTAAGTTTTCATTCGTATTTTATAAATTAACGACCATACTGAATACGATAAGCCTAAAACTAAGAGATCGATCAACTATAAAACCGATGTAGCTACATTTCTAAGCTCATATAGACATATATAGTAAACATCAGTTCAAGACAAATAGGTAGTAGTATCAAGCCGCAGTCGTAAGCACAAGAAATATTATGAGACATATTACGCCATCAATTCTTGTTCGTTCAACACTATATACAGGCCACAACTATAAGAATAAAATACTACCTATACTGAATGTTGCATGGTAACATAGTAAAAAGTAATTCGCTAAATTTATCACTTACATTGAAATGTATATTCAACTTTTTCTCGTTTGTTACACAACTTTTGATGCTTGAAAAATGATCGAATGTTTCCAGCACAAGTTCGCCTAATGAATGACTTTATCAGCAATAAATTGCCCTTTTTATCTTCTCACCATAATGGGACTTAAATGGCAACTTCCGGAATGCAAGCAGGGAGTGTAAGACACCCACACACTAGGAAAATGATAGAAATGTTTTTTGTTTTCAATATTCTTCCTACCTTGAGGCTTGTCTGTAAAAGAAAACATCCCTTTTTGCGAAAATCCAAGCTAAATGTTTTACATATACTTCGAATAATCACATCTTATTAAAAATAGTTTGATCGCTAAAATTCTAGCAAAAATGCCACAGGCAGATAATTATTCCGCAATCTTGTCAATCTTGTACGATATTACAGTCGCTGAATATAATCGTCGTAGTGGTTTCCCGTAGTGGTTTCCTTTACAAACATATCACTATATGTATTCATTTTTTTCTATCTAGCATGTTTAAGAAAAACTTAATGCATTAATTGTCTTCAAAACACTGGATAATATATACATACTTATGTTGTGGCGTAATTGCATGAAACATCTCAAATATTTTTAGTTGGTAATTTAAAGTTATTTTATTTGAATTACGGTCGGAAAGGGAAATGAGAATAGATCAAACAAACTACACTGGCGTGGCGTTAATCGCGCCCAGCCTTTGGCGAGTACAATACTTGTGGACGTTAATTTTAACACAAATAACTGTTTTTGTTAGACACTGATTGACAAAGGTTCAATAGTACGTTATAATAGCAATAAAGAATTTCGGTAAGGCTTGTCCCCGAATTAAAAGGTTCAATTAAAATGCTTTCAAAATTAAAAATTTCCTGCTTTTTGTCAATAAATGAATCTTGGATGAAATGTCATATCGTGACAATAACAAAGGTCATTATAAAAATCGTTACTTGCGCTCTTTAGGATGAAGGCGCGCCGCTGCTGAAAAATGATGAGTTAAGCCAAATATTGTGAAGTGTCCGCCAATTGAGGGTTATTATTCAACAGTTATCAAATCATTGTTACATTGTATAGTAATCCGGATATCACTTTTATCTTTGGTGAAGACAAATAGATAAATAGATTTTGGCGAGGATATAGACAAATTAGATATATAGGCAGGCTAATACGTGATATATTTCTTCGGCTTTCTTTGATTATGTCTTTTTTCCTACAGAATTAAAGAACTGTAGAGATAACTCCAGGGATATGTAGAAACATTGCATGACTAGAGCTGCGAAGTGGTAGCCAGACAGAGTATATACAGCGGCTCCGACAGGCGACAGTCAATTAGTTCATCCGAAGGGAAGATAAATCCAAATTTTGGTGGTCATTAAACTCATTACGAAATAATTTGAAAGCTTGCAGGTATAAACACCGGATATATCAATAAGTGGTCAAATGATTTTCCATTAGATAATGAACAAGCTTCTAATAGCCAAACAGTTTGTTATTAAGCTGTCACACCTAGCAAGAATGTGTTAACACATGTGAGTGGATGCTAAAACATCAATATAGCTATCAATTTTATATCACTCACTATACACACATGCAGTTACATTTCAGATACATATTCTCATCAACTTCCTTACCTGCAATATATGCTTGAAATGGTTGGACTTTGTTCTGTATTTTCAGGAAGTTTTTCAACCTTGCAGACTGAAACGGAACTTGCTATATATATAAACATTCATGTTCCAATGCATGGTTATGGAAATCACGATGCAGTGTTCTATATAGCGCTGAACTGTCATGCACAAGAATAAAGGTTACCTTACATATTTATTATATGTATTTAAATCGAATTATCTGCCCACACTATAATGTAATATGATTGTACTATAGTAGAAATATTTTATATATATTTTTTTAATACAATGATTGAGCACCTATTAAGCTTATTAATAACGAAGCTCTTACTAAATAAAGGCTTTTTATTATTTCAATCATTAAAACGTATTCTTGGGATATGAGTTTCAGCACGACATGCACATTTGCCTAATTGCGGTAAAGTTACCGAGACACAAAAAAATTAAATCCGATTATGATTGCTATGTGCAGAGTTCTAAAAATCTAAAAAATGCGTTAATGGGTTAACACCGTTTGCACCGTTATATTGTGAAGGACACAGTATGACAGCACAGCATGTTTTTATTGTATGACACGAGACATGTTCAAACAATAAAGGCTTTACCACAACGCAGCAATCTGGCGTCTGCCAGGGTGCTAAATACTTCAAACAAAAAATGATACTGATTGATGACCTGTTAAACTATAATGGCGATTTGTGTTCTTAAACTATGTCAATTATTTCCTTAACCATCTTGGTTTATGCCGCCACTGCATCTCTGAATTTATCTTTATATCTAATAAATATTGATTTCAAAAATGGTGATTTCTTTATTAATATCGGCAGCCAATCAAACGTGAAAAACACTTTAAATGGTCTAGTTTTTGTTATGACCATAAAACTGAGTAACATTTCCAGAATATCATATGATGGATGAGATTTCTGTAAAATGCAGTGTGTGATATTGTAATCAGCTGTGCAGTAATGAACTTAATTGTGTACTCTCCAAGTTATCTTATTCGTATAAATGTAAAATTCAAAATGATAAAGTATATATGTATATATGGTATAAAGAGAAACATGGTATAGATAGCTACATGATCATAAATGTATATAATTTAAAGAGAAGACAAACAGTTATAATTCGTTATACTTTGTCATCACATGTGACTGTCACAGAATTTATATCAGCCAACACTACACTCCAGTCGTACTGTCGTAATCCGTGTATAGCCTATATATAAATAAAATATTCAACAGTGCATGTTGGCTGTGTTGGTCTATTACCTACTCATTATATAATTTCGGGAATTGGCCTTTGAATAGAATAGACAATGGACAATGAAACTTGTGGGATTTAAAACAGAGTCAAGATAGTTTTCAAGATATTTTTTGTAATGCTGTAATATGCGGCCTGAAGTTTTACGTTTAGCATGCACTATGCCTACTGGAACCGCAATCTAACCGAGTTGTTTACCATACCCTACATGCATATGCTGTAATATACCGATTTAATTCATATCGTAATCGATCAGCAGTAGGCTATATGTGTTATGGGAATTGAGATAACCAGACTGATTGGCAGAAACTCACACAAGATGTTATAATTAGTCACGTACAGTTAGCCAATTAAAATATAAGCGTAATATTGATATTGCATGAAAAGTGAAAACGTGCAACATTTACACCAAGGCAGAAACCTTACATTTCACTGATTCTCCTACATGAATAACGATTTATATGAAGCACCTTCACAATTTCTGATGAAACTTAGCAACAGCGGTCAGAGTGGTTTTATTGTTTTGTAATAAACAAATCAAAATATGCACTGCCGACATTCTAGTGCATTCAGTTTAGAGGCAAGTATCACAAGTTGACACTCATCAAAGTGATCGCTTCAACCACCCTCATGCTGATTAACTATGACATCGCCTATAAAATGTGGTTGTTATTATTGATTTCTGTTACCTTTCATTTATGTCAACTTAACCAGTTGAAGTTCATTAAGTACCATTCACTGAAAAGCATTGCTATCTGTTAGTCTGTATACTTTAATTGTCAAAATAGTTTCAGGCAAAACACAAAAGGCCGGAAAATCTATTTCACTTGATTGTGTATGATAATTGGTGCGTGCGGGTGTGACTTGGTTACAGCTGTTCAAGTCAACTAAAAACAATGAAGGTTTCAACTGAAACACTTCAAAATGTTTCAAAATCTGCACGTGTCCAGGAAGTTTGTCAGACAAAGTCACAGCCGGCAATGAGCTCATTGCTGTGGATAACAAAATATTTCTTTGAGATTCACTATATATATATATATATATATATATATATATATATATATATATATATATATATATATATATATATATATATATATATATATATATATATATATATATATATATATATATATATCATACGGTTTTGATTCATGTTTTAAAAACTCAGAACGACCTGTAACTTTATATAGAGAGCCGCAGTTTTATTAGTTGTAATTCTTCGTGTTACCCCGTCAAGAAGTAAATTAAAATTAGTTGGTCGGATTGAAATCACATTTTAATTTTTAAACTTTCATGTCATAATGTTCCAGTGTGATTGCTCAATCGAACAATAACTTTAGCAGACTGACTAGAAAAATCGATAATCCATCATCAGTTGTGTTTTGGTGTTTTACCATGGCAATATCTCTGCAGCTGCTTTTGTGTAAAAAATATGCCATTAAAACATGCCAGCATGTAATCAAAGTACTGATTACCAACTACATTAATCTATGTCCATGAAACTATACACAGACTCAGCTTGTAACTATATAATATGATTTCAAATTATTCACTACCGGCAATATGATTATAATATAGACGATACTATTTGAACATGTTCCAGAATCTTGGTCATGAATACACACTTAATCATCAGTAAACGTGAGGGCACAATGCAAAACCAACATACATCACTTACATCACTTAAGAATAAAAAAAATTCAAATAGAAAAAAAATCCGAGACTATTATTATCAACGCTTTCTTCACCTTTGACTATACTCGAGAAAAAAAACATGACCGTGGCACGCTACGGAAAGGCGTGATCCAGTCGGCTCTCACGAGAGTTAATCGGAAACTACAGGTCAAATACCCAGACAAAATGATATGCAAGGAATAAGGCAATTCCTTATTAATTTATTCTCCACTAAATTTTTGCCCCAGCGTTTACGATAACAATATTCGGCTGTATGATCTTGATGTTCTTATCAAGATTCATGAATTTTGATCGAAATTGTATATTTAATCAATACTTGTAAAATTACGGATAGTCTTAATGGATTTATCTTCAATAACACTCGATATCCAACTAACCTATAAAGATCTGTACAGCATTTTCTCTGAATTATACAATCCTATACATGTGCTGTAAGGTTTTATAAAAATGACTAAGTATCTTGCCCAGAGGACACTGGTTAGAAGGATACTTATTCATTTAGACTTTCGCAAAGGGGTTATAAAGGCTTTTGTCGCTCCTTGCGATGTATAAAGAATTATTGTAAAGAAGTTAAACTATAGAGAAGTCGACAAATATATACTCAAGACCAGTGCAAATCGACCGTGAGCATTCTGGGTACCACTAGGCATTCATATAGTTAAACTACGCATGCGTCCAATTGGAACACTTTTATCTGGGAGAGGACAGTAGTACTGAAAAAAAAATCCTTGTTAAATTAATAAAGTAAAGTAATAATGTAGATTGTAGTATTGAAAAAAATCCTTATTCAATTAATAATGTAAATCCCATTCATGGTGGGTATCATGTTGCGGTGCCCAAACGAAGTTATAGTGAAATTCTCTGGCTGTACTTCTCGATCGTTTGCTAAAGTTGCGATCTGATGTTCTTACGAATAGTACTTCAGGTATTGGAGATTTTGCTCTCAATTCTTCTTCAATCAACCACGATAGAGAATTCGCCCAGTGTACTGATCCATCAGTGTGAAAAAATCTTAAGTCAATATCACGAAGCTGACAAGATTGTAGGTTTCTGAGATTGCTGCAATAACCGGATGTTGTGAATATCCAGGTGAATGATGCCTCGTAAAGGCATGAATATATGATATGAGTTGCAGAGGCGCCGGAATATCGATAATTGGGGCAGATATAATACTGATTCATATATTCGTGTTCTGCCCAACTAAGTTCTTTTTAAATCGATTGTTTTTACAGTCTGTGAACACGAATATATGAATACCTGCACCCCCCAATTATCGATATTCTGGCGCCTCTGATGAGTTGATTTGATTTCCAATATGTTGATATGAAGTTGTGGTTGAGTTGGTTCATTCGGGAGTATTGCACCTACTGTCAATTGTTTCACATTACCTCTGTTTGCATTTGAAATATGGAACAGGATATTCTGTTGATCAGATTCAGCTCTTATTTAATTACGAAAAGATCGGGAAATTTGTCAGGAGATGATTCTTCTTCTTTTCCTATATGACCTTTGTCCAATTATTCACGATCGCTCGCTCGAATTTTTCCTTTCCATCACATTCTGTCTCTCGCATCTTCTTTCCCCAATGGCGTCTCGGCATTCTTCCATCGCTTTCAGGTCTTCCTCGTCTTCTTCCTTTCAGTATCCTTATTCATCACTCTCCTGACAAGGTTATCACTGTTCATCCTTTGCAGGTATCCAAACCACCGGCTCATTCTTGTCGCTATCAACTTTTCCCTCATGTTAGTCACTTTCATTCCCTCCTGATATCATTACTTCTTTTTCTGTCTTTAAGTGTCATCCTCAAAATTCTTCTCAACATACGCAGTTCCGTTATTTCCAGGATCTTTTTGAGTTGACAAGCGATAGTTTAGATGAGAGTTTTCTCGACTCTCGTGTCTCGATCAAACGAAAACAAAAGTTGTATGAGAGTGGATGAGAGTTGACTGGAAGTCAACCGTTACCAGCTCAAAGTTAAATCAATGAGAGTTAATGTGAGCGTATACGAGTTGGCGGTCAAACGTGAGCGAGTGTTGCAACTCTTATGAACTCTCATTCTCGTTTTACCTTTTTTACTGTTTTGTAGCCAATAGAGTGACTTTTAACATGCTTCGCTTCATTTTATCCCATTTAATTCCCGATAGCTCTCTCCATTTATTCCAGGTTTCTGGGAATCTTATCATATGCTTTTTCCAGGTAAACGCAGGAATACAAATCTCTGTTTTTCACTGAAAATGCATCCGTTGTAGACCAACCAGGCATAAATTCCCTTTGAATCTCATCGACCACATTTTTTTCAACCATATGCATCAATCTCAATCTTTGATCCAGTATTTTCTCCATAACCATTGCCTGTTCTAACAATTTTATTCCTCTGGAGTTTCCACGTCGAATCGGGATCTGATTTCTCCTTTTATATTGGGATGAGTATACTTCTCTCCCTTGGAATGCACTAAGAGCACTTTTCAGTACTCTGAAGCAACAGCCTGGCGAGAAGACTCACCGGAATGTCGAACATAAAGAAGAAAGTACTAGAATCATGATATATAATAGAAATGTGTGATCTCGGTAAATGACAATTTGCATGAGCCAAAGTAATGTTCATGGAAAAACTCGACATGAAAGGCAAATTGCGTACACATTTAAATTGGAACCCCCTCTAACTCACTAGTTCTATTATGTACGCGTCCTGTGGTAAGTTGCTCCCCTTGACTGTGGTATTCATACTGTGCTATGATTATAATGCAGGGTATAGACTAGTTGATGCGACATCATTATCGGGAATGATAGTGACAATAACAAATTGAACTATATTGTCACCTAAACCGTAATAGGAATCCAATTATAAGTCCCACGATAGCCTCTCCATACATGCTAGGATACATATTTGGAGAGGCTACCAAGAGTAAGGTAAAATTGTGTCCACAGTCAAAATTGATCATTAGGAAAAACAAGATATTTTGTCAAATTAGGACACGAGGCAGAATTTGCAGCATGAACCAGAAATAATGCTGGAAAAACTCAATACAAAAGTCATTCCAGATTAGCTAAAACTTTTTTAAAGTGTAGCTTTAATATTGAGAAAGGCAACTGAGGAGTCGATAAAACACTTTGAGACCAACCAATGGTAAAATCAGCACAACATGACAATGTTTAAATATGGAGGAGCATAGGAATGAAATTCGTTACCGAAGTGTATTGGAGACATCACCTCGACAATACATGAAGTTAAAAAAAATTACCTTTTGGAATCTGATATGATACTGGTAGTAATCCTGTTTTTTTACTCTTCTTGAAAAAGCACTATTTGACACTTTATTGTATTATAATTTATATATATTTAAATGTTGTTCATCCTGTTATACATATAGCGTACTGTATAGCTGAAATGATCTGACAATTCAAATAAAGTCATTACAGTCGACAAAAGCGGGGTATACCGACTTATTATATATTTTGAGCGATTATCAAACTCTGTACAATTTCGCTTATATCTGCGAACAATCATAAATCCCTGCCGTTGTATTATAAACAAACGAAATTCGAGACGTAAAATGGCCTTGAAACGGGCCAAACAGCAATTTCAATGATGGTATTTTGATTTAGGTAGCCTAAATAAACTATAGATTAGTTACCTGACGCTAGACTGTTCGACTAAGGACGATGAGTTAATACTTGTTGGTTCATAAACGTTAGCTCAGTTAACGTATTTTAAGCTTGTTTTCCAAAAGATACAAGAGGTTACCTATATATGAATCACTATCTTTTGCAGATTAGGTTCATAAGGTAAGATTTTCTTCGACAAATGAAAAGGGAAATGCAAAGTTGAAGTACTTGAAACATACGCTGGTGCAGAGGTGAACGATTATTTGAAGCATTTGAATGTTTCTCACTTAACAATTTATTAATTTAAAATACCCTTATATCTCGACCATTATTTATCAAAGAGAGCGTAAACATATAGATCAATTCAATGTTTTATATTTTTATGTGTGGATGACAATTTAGTGCGCGCATGCAGCCATGCACGCATTTACTCTGTACAATACATAAGTTATGACCACGGTCACAGTATACTGTAGATGAAAACTAATAAATACTGAATTTATAAATACCTTTGTACGTCAACGACGGTTATTTCTGGTTTAAATGACCAAAATGGAATCAATTCCGTAGTTATGATGAAAATATCTGATGGATAACACACGCGAACAGCACAAGCAAGACAATAAAATTAACAGTATGCTGTAATATCCTGCTGATAATAGCAATTAATACAATAGTACTTAAGGTAATTTCCTACTTGAGTGACTCACCAGGGATCAACTATGTTTTCATTGTGCTTGCATCAAATGCATGGAATATAGGGTTGCCAAAATAAAATACGTATATATAATTAGTCACTCCTAGCGTCAAAACGTCAGGTTAACTATTTTTAACTGCCTTTTAAAAAGTAGTGAAGCCGTCGATAAAATTAGCAAAAATGTACGGTTCATTCATTATAAAGTACTCAGTACCGAATAAGATTTCCTGATGAGGTGAGTGATTTTAAATGTTTTTCACCTGAATAAATATGTCCTATGTTTGATATGTTTCAATAAATTTGTTACTTCTATTTTCAATGTTCCATATTTATCAATGATGGTCCTCCAAGAAGAGCAAAACGTTTTAATTAACCTGAATGCATGTGATGCACAAATTACCCTAACCGTGAATTACCTGACTTTTGCATGTATCAATGTTCAATAACAATAGATAATTCACAGTCACAGATAAAAATACTTGCGTAATGCAACCGCAAACAGCTAGCTCATGCAAAGAGGAAAAATATAAAAGAATAAGAATAACTGTTCAATTTTGTTTCCTAAAATTTAATTTAATCTTTTCCTGTCGGAATACTCTGCATGCATGGACGCATTTGAGCCAGAAATATAATAATATTCGGTTACGAATGTGATTTTTATAAAAAAAACCCTCACTTTACTCATCATGATGAATGTCATGCAGTAAGAAATTATAATACGCATGGCGATATCTTCCTGCATAAGATGTCCTTGCCAGTCTTCTCCCCGGGATAGAGGCGGGGTCTCTCCTAACTGATTGTATTTTATATGTTTAACATGTTTTAATTTTAACTGGTTTTATTTCCTGTTATTTTAACTATTTATACTGGTTTGGAAGTTGAACTTCTATAACCTTTCCCAGGCATACATTCTATGAGAATTTCCACAGTATGGAAGTGTTCAAATGTTCCAGGGTGAATGTGTGAATAACATAAATTACAAACGTTTTATAGGAATATAAATATCTGCATCGACAACACACAATACGGGCAGTAAAGTTATTTTTAACTTAATATAGGAAGTTAAACTTAAAATGTTGAGGGCAATCGAAAAATGGGCACGATTTAAGTAATATTATTATATGGCAAGCATCACTTCCGGTGAAATGGCGAACTGTGATTGGCCGAGAAGCACTTTCAGCGGTCCATATATTATTCAGTTCCACGTAAACTAACGCATGTATTTTAAAACAAAACAGCAAAACTAATAATTGAAAATTTGAAAATTATAATAAGTTTAATTTGTTATTAATAAGATATCTGCGAATGGTTTTTAGTGGAAAAGAAGGTATACACTGGTATTTTTTGTTTTCTTCGACCAAATGTGTACCACGTTAGCCACTAATATGCATTTCAAATAATGCATTTCTTGTTTGTTTCAAGTATAAATGCCTATAAATGCCATATAATGAACTTTTTATTAACCTCGTTTTAGTATAAATTCATATATATACACAACTTTATATATATATATATATATATATATATATATATATATATATATATATATATATATATATATATATATATATATATATATATATATATATATATATATATATATATATATATATGAAAAAGTTAGGTGTTTAACTATTTTTAACTTGCTTCAGAGACTAGCCTCCAGTTCGCAAAAACAGAAATTAATGACAAATATACTGTGCTGGCGAGATAGTAATTAGTAAATTATTTGAAACACGCTTTTTACCTTACAAGTGTATGTTGAGGTAATCTCTAGATCACGTTATTGAACAATTAACACAAGCAATATATAATATAATATTTGCATGTATTATATAGTTACAATATTCTAGAATTTGAAGCATATATAGGCCTACATCACGCTGCGCATTGTTGTGATTTATGCAATGATCTTTTCATATAGCTTGCTTGGGAAATAGGAAACTGTCTACAATTTCAAGTGGCCAAATCGCAAATGTGCAAACCAATATCTCAAACATTAAAAGCACTTTGACCATCGTTAATTAATGAGTATTATTTTTTTAAAACTTAATTTGCCATCAGTGCAGTTACAAGATTTGACAAGGATAGTAATTAGTTTGATATGCATTTTCCCTTTCATCTATAAGCCTAGGAAAATTACATAAAATTTATATAGTTTCTATTACTAGAGCGTTTCTATTTTAATTATATCTTATTGTATTCACATCAAAATCACATTAAACATTAATATAGATCAACTTTATTGATATATATCCGGTTTTGTGCGTAACCTTGCGCCCTTGGCCTTCTAATACTAAGCGGATGTTGCATGAAGGTCAGACGTAGAATGAAGGAAAAACTAATAAGTGATGCTAATATATATATTAGCACACTGAAAAAGCTATATTTCAATATGATTCCGTAAACAAAATCGACAGGATGTATGCACATCATGTGAAGTTTGTGATATTGTTCCTAAACTAAAAATAACAACAATTAATACCGCTATTAATATTAACTTCTTGGTATGGTAAACCAATCATAATCATCAAGAACAAACAAATACTGTTATAATGAGGAACAAATTGACAGTCATAAAGTGACAGTAGTTATATTTACTGGCGTATAGCGACTTCCTCCTGGTTATCATGTCAAGAAAAGACCTATTTTATAAGTTTTATAAGCCACAAATAGTTTAATTTTGTGTCTTTGAATGAATTAACTAGTTGTTTGACAGGAAAGAGAAAACAGTAACTATCTTTGCTGTGTCCCAGTCTATCAGAGTGAACATGCACTAGGGTACTGGTATGCTATACATGCCACTCACTACAGACACTTTCCGATTAGATCCCAATGTCCGCCTCGATTTCAAGCTATTGTTTCGTGTGCAATTCGGAAGAGTGTCTGTGCATGCAGTAAATGATGACGCATATAGCCTATACAGGATGTCCTGCATATTTCACAGCTAATTATTAGTAGGCATCGAAAATTCTACCGAGGTTGACGGTAATGCCTAAAAGGGATGGATGAGAGGTAGTTCACGAGATGGTTCCAAAATTGAAATAAGAGTTTGCGTTAGGGGTGAGGATAAGGTTTAGTATTGCGGCAAGTGGCTGGTACGTTGTTGATTCTTTTACGTTTTAATGATCTTAAAAACTGGCGGCCATCTTGAAAACTTGCTTCTAATCATCCCCTTTAGCCACGACTCTATAGGTTAGGGAGGGAGAGCGGTATTAACTCATAAAAACTTTGATTATTCAGTCAAATAGCTATAACGTAGGCTCTAGTGGACCAATTTTGATAAATAGTATAATGCCAAATTTCTTCTTCAGGAAGAACAGGGTTAATTGCTGGGGCAAGAATATCACATGGCGGTAAGGGCTTGTGTTTGTACGTCGAGGACTTGGATGAATTCTTTTCTGTAGAAATCCTCGAGGTTAAGGGGGGGGGGGGTGAATAGGGGTATACAAATCCGCCGATCCGACCAAATTTGAAGCAAAATCCGCGATCCGACAATCAGTCTTGTCTAAATTTGGATCCGCTAAAAGTCTACTATGAAGTCACAATCCAGGATCCGAACTAAATTGCAAGCTAAATCCACAATCCGAGCCAAAACATTAGATAAATCCGCAATCCGCTGTATTAATAAGATCGGCAAATCCGTGCAAAATACTTGCCAGATCCGAAATCCGAACAATTTTTTCTGTGAAACCCGACGATCCGAAAACATATTCACCCCCCCTTAAGGTTTTTTGCCGTTTCTGGTCTTTCGTCCACTCTTCTTGTTGGGCTCTGTGACGATGATGTCGCTGGTATTCGTCATTAGCATCGACTCCATGGCGTTCGGAACATTTTACAGCAGCAGTAATCAGGTTGTTTACGTTTTGGTAATCATTACGTAAGTGGCGCAGAGTAGAAGAAATGGTTGCTTTAGCAGATTCTAGAGTGTCAACAATGTTGATGTTGACACTCTGAACTTGCTTTGTCAATATTTTTGTTTTTATCATCACATTCTTCATAAACATAACCATGACAATAAATTGAAAAGATCTTACTCTTGCCAGAAGATTTTCAGCCTTTGCATGCTTTCGTTTTGTTGTCGTCAGAATCTTCTAATTCTTCCAGTCCTTGGGTTATTTCGACCAAACAGCTCTTATTGAATCTACACGGGCGCTCCAACGTGTTGCAGATAAATTTCTCAACTCCAATGCTCCACCGCTATCGTTTTCCTTCACTTTGTCACAAAACACGCTGTATCTCTTTGTCCTGGAAGTAAAGAAGACAATCAGCTCTTGCAGGATTTCAAACATTTTGCACACGGCAACACTCGCTTCACAGCTATGCTCCACAGTGGTATTGAACCGATGGGCTAGTTATGGAAAGTAAGGAACGTCTCTCCCAAGATGCTCTTTTATCTTTGCTTGACACCCCTTGAAGACCCCAGACATGGACGAAGTATAATCATATGACTGGAAAACCGTCTTAACCGATTTTTCATTCAGAGAAGAAAGGATTCCTTGAGCATGGCCTTCTCCGGTCTTGTCATGGATCTCCTTGATATCAATGAGGCGTTCTTGGGGATTCCCATCTTTATCAACGCACCTTGCGACAACAGAGAGCTGATCGACGTGGGAGACATCAGGAGTTGTCAGGGGCGCACATTAGGGGGTTGTGGGGGGGTGTGACACCCCCCATGTTTTGTGAAATATATCTAAAAAGTCGGTCCCAAAACCTGAATGGGGACGAAAAAGTCGGTCCGGCTAACATAGGCGTACCGGGCGGGGGGGCGGGGGGGGGATGGGCGGTAGCCCCCCAGTCGGGCAATATTCGATCAATAGTCGGGCAATTTAGGTTTGTAATAAAAATAAATGGGACAAATTCTGTCAATTTTGTCGGAAAGTAAGTCAATTTTTTGTTCAATTTTGTGTTTTTGGAAAATTTTAGTGATGTTTCGAAAAATTTTGGTATG